TGCACTGCATTTTGCTTGATGAAACGGTGAGAAAACAGCCTTTTATTTTAATCAACAATTATTAGTTTTACATCATTCTTTCATTCCATAAAATGGGAGTTTGTCAATCTTTGAGCATCCACGCACATCGATATGTCTAAGAGACTTCAAATTACAAATAGCCCATGGAAGGTTTAAGAGATTTTTGCAATTACATAGAAACAAACCTGAAGGCCAACCAGATGTCTGATTGATGAAGGTATTTTCTCGATCGCAGTCCCACATAAGGAAAGTTGGGACAAATTCTTCATCTGCTCCCCAAATTCTGGAAGCTTTTTCACATTTGTGCAGCCACCAAGCCATAAAGATTTAAGAGAATCCATTTCAAACTCACTTGGGAGGCTCTTAATGCTTTCACAGCCTCTAAGGTTCAGAATTTTAAGTCTTTTGAGGAATGCAACAGACAGGTAAATTTCAACTAAATTCTTACAATTCCAAAAATCCAACATCTGAAGTTTGGAAAACCACTGAAATCTGGGGTATTAATCAATTTTTTGGAGTAGGCAAGATAGAGATATTTCAACTTGGGCAAGTCCTGTTCAACACTGTAAGTTTCAAATTTATTCAAAACAATAAATAAATAAAAAGTAAATGATTATTTTGTAAATTAAATAGCATTTATTCAAGGATGAATAATAATTAGATACTCATTAGTGAGTACTTAAGACTCATTTTTTGTTTTGGTTCAATAAGAAAATGTCACATGTTCTTGTTTTTAACATGTCAATTATTTTTTTAAATAATAAAATGTGTTAAAATATCATTGGACATAATTACAAAATAGGTACTGACTAGGGATTTATTTAATACTACACTTTACCACTTTTCCCTCCCAAAGCCGAACAAGTTTGCCATTATCCATATGAAGTTCAGTAAGCAAGTACGGGCGAAAGCTAGTTGGAAGAAACTTGGAAGGATAGAAACTCCAATTTATACTTCTCAAGGAACACAGAGGAAGAAAAGATCAAACCATTGAATTCCAAAAACCTCAGTCCATCCATCTTAGAGAAGGCTTTGCAATTCCACTGGCGTACCTCTTCTACTTTGGGCTGGCATAAGGATATAGCTTCAATTGCTCTTGACCCCTAACAATTAAGAAAAAAAGGATAAATTAATTTGACCAAAAAAAATAAAAAAATAAAAAACAATCAAGTCTACTATAGTGTCAAAAGAAATCGTATCTTCTTTCAAACTTGGAATTTAACTTCTAACCATATTGGTCGTGAGTACATGAAAAATGTCATCAGAAAGCCACAACCTGCACTAATCCAATTATATAGCTCAACATGGATTAACTATAAGAAACTATTTTTTTAAGAGTGAACCAAAAAAAGAGTATTTTGCATTGACATTTTTCTCGCATCCCACAAACCGCAATTGGAAAAAAAATTCAATCTAAATTCGATAAAATCAAATTCAAATTCAATTCAAATTTGACAGGATTTAGGATTACAACCAACTAGAGAGAATAAGAAGTGAGTTCAGGGGCCAAGTACTTTAGTGGGGTCATGGTGCCTTCCTTTTCCTTTTGAGCATGCCCTGATGAAGACGACGATGACTTTTTTCCTTCTTTTAGTTTTGGTTTTTAGTTTCTTATTTTACTTTTAGTTTTAAATCTTGAAAAAAAAAAGTTCTTATAGTTAATCCATGTGGTGCCATATGATTGGATTAGTAAGACAAAAAATATTGACGAAACTTTAACGAAATGATTAAATTGATGTGTGATATTGAAAGTCAGAGACTAAATTTATCAATTTTTGAAACCCAGGGACCAAAATGAGGAGTTGGATCAATGTTAGAGACCATTTGCGATAACAACACTTATTTTGTGCAATCCACATGTCACCATTTCATTGGATTTGTGGATCCCACATATAAACTAACAGAATAGTTGATGAAATCTTAACAGAAGGACCAAATTGATGTGCGGGGTGAATGTCAAGGACGACATTGATTGATTTTGAAAGTGAGGGACCAAAATGATGAGTTTGATCAATCTGAGGGACCATTTGTAACAACCAGTCCCGAGATTTACAGAATAAAAAGGGTATTTTTGTATTTTCATCAAGTTTGAAGATATTTTTCCTTTTAAAAAAATGGTTTTTGGGTCTTAAATGGTGTGCCCAGGGGGCCCACCTTGCTTTTGTGTCCCTGGTCTCTCTCCTCTATGTTCTCCACCGAGTCAACCTCTTTTTGTTCTAAAAACAAAGAAAGAACACCACAAACCCTTCTCTTCTTTTCAGCCAGTACTGTTCATCATATTCTCCGTCGTGTTTCGTATTTTTTCGTCATTGGTAAGCTTCTAAAAACCCTTGGGATGTGTTTTAGGGTTAGATCGAAGCTGGTTTTAAGTTGTGTATACGTTTGAATCACAAAAAATAGCTTGGAGTAGTTTTTCCAAATTTTTCGACAAGCACCGCCCCTTTTGAGGAAATTTCCGGCCAAACCACAGCAAGTTGGTCGGCGTTCAAGGTATCAATCTCTTCGTCTCGCTGAGTACTACAACTTTCCTTTTTGAATCACTCAATTTCGTTGAGTATTGAAGATGGTATATCCATTTGAATCTTACCCAGTTTCCGACGACCTCCGAGGCTTCGAGGTGTTTTTTGGCCAAACCACGGCGAGTTAGCTATTGAGGTATCATTCTCTTCGTCTCTTCGAGAACTATGACTTTCGTTTTTTGGATCACTTGATTTGTTGAGTAATGAAGAAGTTATAGGCGTTTGAAGTCAACCTAGAAACTGGCCAAAGGGTGGCCTGAAAACCACCCTCAACCCAGGCCTTTGGGTCAGGTTACCCAACCCATTTGACCTAAACTCGAAGCACAAATGTCCAAAGGCCCAAGCCTTGTGAAGCCCAACCTAAATCCCTTTTTATTTAAACCCCAAAACCCTTTTACAATGGGCTGGGCTTAAAGCCCAAACCTTTTAAACCCTTGGACCCAAACCCTTTAGGCCCAACCCAGTCTAACCCAAAACCCTTAACCCGGATCCGTTGACGTTAACTTTGACCGTTAACATTGGCATTGACTTTGACCTGTTGACTTTTTGGGTCTTCGTCCAAGACATCTCTAGGCTAATTCCGACGTCCTGAACTTGTTTTTGAAGTCCATTTTCCCAAATTCAATCATTTGAGTAGAGTTTGACTAAATATACCCTTTATGTGCCTAGGGGCAATTATTTGTGGTGTTTTTGTTTTCATTAGTTACGTGACTCTTCAGCGGCTAAGTATTTTGAGTGGACGAACCCCTTCTAAAAATGCATGTTTTGATATTAGAAATGCATACATGAAAAGCATGATTTGATGACTATGTTTTATGGAACGTTTTATGAGATAACATGCTTATTGAGGCTAGTTTGAATTATTACTATTTTTCCTATAACCCGTGTTCTTATAGAATATCTGATGGATGACGATATGATATTTAGAACATGTTTAGAACATCTCTTTATAGTATAGATGATGGATGACTTTATACTATGAAGTTGCTTTTCAATATATGTATGTTCAATGGTTTTGTACTTACCTAGTGGTCCTTATTCCGCTACGGGACGTAGGGATAGATTCTGGTCCGTCCCGAGTGACGGTTTGGTGTTGGCATAGGGCTTGGAGTGTGTTTCCTCTGGCTATTAGCACAAGGACGGGAAACTGGCATGGGGCCTGGAATGTATTTTCCTCTGACTGTCTGCTTAGAGACGGGGAGCTGACATGGGGCCTGGGGGTTATTGGACATTCACTAGCGATTATTATATATACAAGTTATGATTTGAGACATTGTACGACATGCTAGGTTTTGGAAAACCTATGTTTATCATGATATGTATGTGTGTTCATAAAACCTGAGCGTTAGTACGTTGATAACTGTTTATTTATTATATATATATATATATCAACTTGGTCCACTCGTGTTTGTTTTGCGCCCCTTCAGGACCTAGAATCAAGGCATACAATCCCGGCTTCAAGGTACTTCCGCATCGGCATCTTCGAGTCCTTTCGGTGTAGGACCTATTCTTTTATTCATTCAATTTTATATGATTTCTTTTAGTATTCTAGTTAGTTGTATGCTCTGAACATATTCCTTAAATGCATATTCATTATTCTTTTATATTTATAAGCCTTATCTACCCCTTGTTTTCAGCATTTGCACTCAATAAATGGCTTTCGTCACCCTCGGATGTCGGTCAGCACGTGCCTATCTTGGTATTCGGGGAATATCGGGATTTGGGCCTGTCACCATTTGTGACAAAAGCCCTTCTATATATCACTAAAGCTATAAAAAATTTAGTAGTGCAACAACATGTTTTAAAAAAATGTATGAATCTCTAAACAAGAAAAATTGCTAATGATACATCTTTCATCATAGTAGATAAATCTGATTAACCATCTCCGAAATCTTCACTCTTCACGTATACCAATGCTTATGGAGACATTATATAATATACAAGCCTAAAACACATTATTTTCTTCTATATATTACTTAAGCTGTAAAAATTTCAATAATGCAACAAAATGATTAAAAATATGTGTGAATCACTAAATTTTAATTTTATATTACAAATTTTAAAAATAATTATTTTCATAAATTTTTATTATTTTTCAAAAACTTTGCGTGACGAATATCAAAATTTTGTCTCTTAAACCGCATTTACTTATTTTTTATTTTATTTATATTGTTAAATTAAATTAGTTTCTTTATCTTTTTTTTGCTCAACGAATCAACATTTGGACATGTAAACCTTATTTATTTTAATTTGTTTATATTTTAAAGACACGGCTCTGCTGTATAAATTGAATTTACACATGGCAGTTTCGGGGCCCTCAAAGTATTGAAAAGCAAATGAACAAAGAAGGGGGAGAAAGCGAGTTCTTTTGCTAGGATGCCAACACTGCGCATTTGTCCCACATCGACAGTTTCCAGAATGATGAAGCTTTTCATATACCTAGACAACGGAGGATGGGTCACGACCTTACTTGAACAGGATCTGTTCTATAGGATCGTACCTCTGTATCCTTGATTTCTAAGGAGACAGAAACCTCAACCTGGTGGATGAAACATGACCGTGCGATCAGAGCGTGATTAATAGCTTGTGGTTCTCCGGTTCCAACAAGCGGTAGATGATCGTTCTCAGCCAGTTTCACTGTCTGGGATGGTCGCACGGTTGTCTGACAGGTTAACCCCTTTTTTTTCACTCCACTTCGCCTTCTCACGTTCTTGTGATTGCTTGTGTGAGTGGATATGTACTTGCATCTGCAACTTTTTTTCTACATATCATCGACTTCACAATCAGCTTTCGTGGAGCTTTCAGTGATTAAACTTGAGATGAAGTTAAGAAAGTGACTTCCAGAAAAGCATATTGAGATCGCTTCTAGAATTTTTTTATATTTTCAAACAGAGACCCAAAAATATGCAAGTTTTAACAGTTTTTTAGACAGGGGCTGCTATTTTCAAGTGCGTAAATCACTGAAGCTCGGAATGCCAATTACCACTTAATGGACAGTTTTGCTAAAAAGTCCTCATGGAAGTTGGAACTTAACAAACTATTAGAGAAATAAAAGAATGATTAAGTTCTTAATTTTTTTTTTCCTACTTTTAGTTTGTTTTAATGTAGTTTGGGGTTAGCAAGGAATTTCAATGCCATGGTTAATCGTGGAAATGCACGTTCGATTGGCTGATATGAAGTAATCTATAAAGTTGTCCTATTTTCCTCTTTGTAGACGCTAAATCTTTTAAATTGTGATATATGTTTAATCGTTCATTCTTGTTCCTGAGTTGAGATACAAATAAGCTGATGTGGTCGACTGCTGGTAGTTCTTGTATATGTACGAGTGGCCGAAACCGCAATTCTTGCAAAGTGACTCAACATCCTTGGTCAAGCTCATGGGGAAAGGACCGGAGCGCAATTTCAGACATCATTATAGAGATTGTGAGGAAAATGAAGGTTCCAGTGACTATCTTACACGTTACACCTATGGTATCATTCCGAAGCGATGGGCATGTGGGTACCTGGAGCAATAATCCATCAGTGCCTGATTGTAGCCATTGGTGCCTACCTGGCGTACCTGATATGTGGAACGAAATTCTCTTGAACCTGCTACCCATGAAGTATTACGGTTTTGTACAGGCTACTAAGGTAAGTGTTGGAGTTGATGTTGTAGAATTGTAAGTAATGAGCTGATTAGTAAATAAAAAGCTTTGAATGTTAATTGTGTATGTACTTAGTCTTGTAGAATGACAAGTGTGAGGCTCCAATATGTAAGGTTAAAATAACCATGTGTAGTGATCCTAGAAATTAGTTAGATGTGTGGTTGAGATCAAATGTGATGTGTGTGTGGATCCAGCTATCGCAAAACAATCATGAAATGCACGTGTGTGTGCTCATTTTTTCCATTAAGAGGAAATATATTCCTCTCTGCAATTTTTGCGAGTGAGAAGAAGAACATTCATTCCTTTTTTTTGCATCCTTCAATCGTCTCTCTATTTTGCATAACTCAGATAAATAAAATACATTAACATGGCCTCAGAGCCAGGTTCGATCAACTAAGCTTGGGTGTGAATCTGTGAAGTCACTGAGCTAAATCGAAGCTCACTCGAAGCTCGGTGAAGGTCGTCGGAGTTTCATTGTCATTTAAGAAGAGAAATCATCATTCAAGCCAAAGATGTCTGGATCTGGAAGCTCGGAGGTGAGAACCCCAATTTCCTCCGGTGAGAACTACGAGTTCTGGAGAATTAAGATGGTAACGATCTTCACATCTCTTACAACCCCCGACTCGAAGAAGAAGAAGAAGGAAGCTGAAGGGTCATCTAAAGATGCAGTCGATGAAGAAATGACTGTTGTGTTCATGAAGGATGCGAAGGCTCTAGGAATCATACAAAATGCAATCTTTGACCAGATCTTCCCTCGGATTACCAACGCTGATTCAGCTAAGATGGCATGGGATCTGTTGTATGGAGAATACCACGGAGGTGATCAGGTTAGATCGGTAAAACTTCAAAATCTTATATGAGAATTTGAATATGCTAGGATGCGAGATGATGAATCTCTATCTGGTTATCTTACAAGGCTAAATGAATTGACTAATCAGAAAACATCTGGTGAATCTCTTTCTAATGAAAGACTTGTGCAAAAGGTTTTAATTAGTCTAAGTAAACCGTATGATCCTATCTGTTTGGTTATAGAAAATACAAAATGTTTGGAGACTGTAGAATTGCAGGAGGTAATCGCAATCTTAAAGGGCCAGGAACAACGATTTGATTTGCATATTGTTGATACTACTGCGAAGGCATTTACATCTCTCTCAGTGAGTCTAAAGGGGCAAAATAGAAGTGGAGCACAATCTGGTCCATCTCAATTCCATAAGAATTGGAATTCCAAGGGCAAGAAATGGGATTCAAAACCCAAGTTTCAGCAGAAATTTCCTGCTAGTCTTGCACAAAATGCACAATTAATGGGTCAGACAGTTACAAAACCACAGTGCAGGGTATGCTTTAAATTTCACTTTGGTGAGTGTAGATATAAGGGGAAGCGTAAATGCTACAACTGTGAAAAGTTTGGTCACTGGGCTAGAGAGTGCATTGCAGGCAAACCAGTGCAAAAGGCAAACAATGCTAATCAAGTAGAGGTGACAGGGAACTTATTCTATGCCAATAACACTATCTCTGAATCAATTGTCAATGGTGAATGGTATATTGACAGTGGTTGCAGCAACCACATGACTGGAAATGAGAAGCTACTGGTTGATATAAGGACAAATGTGGTACGCAAAGTACAAATGCCAATTGGTGAGCTTATGAATGTAGCTGGAAAGGGCACTCTAGTAATCGATACTAGCAATGGCAGAAAATACATCAAGGAAGTAATGTATCTACTTGGATTGAAGGAGAACTTACTGAGTGTGGGACAGATGGATGAGCATGGGTATTATTTGTTGTTTGGAGGTAAAATGTGCAGTATTTTTTATGGTCCTTCACTGGAATGCCTTGTAATTAAAGTAGAAGTGAAGAAGAATAGATGCTATCATTTAGCACTATTACCTAATGATCATATAGCCCTGAAAACAAGTTTGTCTCACTCTACTTGGACCTGGCATAAAAGGCTAGGCCATCTGCATCTAATGGGGTTAAAATAACTCAAAGATAAGGAAATGGTGCATGGACTTCCATACTTAGAAGAAGTTGATGAAGTTTGTGAAGGCTGTCAGCTTGGAAAGTAGCATAGAGAGTGGTTCCCAAAGAGTCAGGCATAGAGAGCAAACAATCCCCTAGAATTGATTCATGTAGACTTATGTGGGCCTATGCAAAATGAGTCTATTGCTGGTAACAAGTATTTTATGCTTCTTGTAGATGACTGCACAAGAATGATGTGGGTTTATTTTCTCAGATACAAGTTAGATGCATTGAATTGTTTTAGAAAATTCAAATCTATGGTAGAGCTACGAGTGGTTTTAGAGTAAAATGTCTGAGAAGTGACAGAGGGGGTGAATTCACATCTTGTGAGTTTAACAAGTTATGTGAAGATGAAGGTATTCAAAGACAACTCTCTATGGCCTATACTTCACAACAGAATGGAGTTGTAGAGAGAAAGAACAGAACTGTAGTTAAAATGGCAAAAGCCATGCTTCATGATAAAGATTACCTTACTATTTGTGGGCAGAATTTGTACACACAGCTGTCTACATACTGAATAGGTGTCCTACAAAAGCTCTCGGAGATATAACTCCTTTTAAAGCATTCAGTGGTCGAAAACCAGGGATTGCACATCTTAGAATTTTTGGTTGTTTGTGTTATGTACACATATCAAGTGAGTTGAGACAGAAACTAGATGCAAAGAGTGTCAAGGGCATATTTGTAGGTTATGAAACCTGTGAAAAGGGGTACAGAGTATATGATCCTCTCACTAAGAAGCTTATACTCTTGAGAGATGTTGTGTTTGATGAAAATACAGCATGGAAGTGGAAGAAGGTCTCTGAGAATTATGTAACTGTGCGCAATCATGATGAGTTATCTAAGATGCCTAAAAGTACTTTACCAGGGGCAACTCCTGAAGGTCATGACTATACTCGGTCACCAAACTTGTTATCTTCTCATGAATCATAAGTGATGTGAGTAGCAGCATGAGAAAGTCTCATGCCTTTGATCACACTCCATTGAGGTGGAGGAACCTGGATGATGTTCTAGCTCAATGCAATCTTTGCATTATGGAACCTGAAAAGTTTAATGATGCAAGCTAAAGATGAATCATGGATGAAGGCTATGAAAGATGAACTATCAATGATTGAAAAAATGCAACATGGGAGCTAGTAGACAAGCCAATTGATAAACCTATAATTAGGGTTAAATGGGTGTTTAAGATTAAGCTTAACCTTGATGGATCAATGTAGAAGAATAAAGCAAGGCTGCCAGCCAAAGGATATGCTTAGAAACCAGGTTTTGACTATAATGAGATATTTGCACCTGTGGCTAGACTTAATACAATTCGAACACTAGTTGCATTGGCAGCATAGAAAAGTTGGAAACTGTACCAACTAGATGTCAAGTCTGCTTTTCTGAACGGAGTACTTGAAGATAAGGATTATGTAGAATAACCATATGCTTTTGTGATCAAGGGGAGTGAAGACAAAGTGTACAAGCTTCATAAAGCCTTGTGTGGCTTGAAACAGGCACCAAGGGCCTGGTATAGTGAAATTGACTCTTATTTTGCTCAATGTGGATTTGAAAAGAGTCAAAGTGAGGCTACTCTATATACCAAAACCAGAGGAGAAGCAGAAATTCTAATTGTGTCTCTATATGTAGATGACATTGTGTACACGGGGAATAGTCAACCCATGTTGGAAGAATTCAAGAGAGACATGATGACAAAGTATAAAATGATTGATTTGGGGCTCTTGCATCATTTTCTGGGAATGTGAGTCATCCAAACACACACAAGCACTTTTATTCATCAAAGAAAGTATGCTGCATCTTTGTTGAATAAATTTAGCTTAAGTGAGTGTAAATCTGCTGCTACAACTTGGTTACAACTGAGAAGCTTAGCAAAGATGATGGTAATGGTTCAGCGAATGAAGAACAGTATAGGAAGATTGTGGGAAGTCTATTGTATCTCATAGCCACAAGACCTGATGTGATGTATGCAGCAAGTTTACTTGCAAGGTTCATGCACTGCCCCACCAACAAAC